ACTGACCTTCATCTTTCCATTGACAAGGGACCCCAGATTCCGGGTAGTCAGCGTTCCTGATGTCCAGGTCGTGAGCGAGACATACAGCCTCTTGTTTCTGAGGCAGAAAAACTGCAACTCAGTCAGCCCGACCTGCAGAGCGTTCCCAGTTTGACAGGATCTCCATGGTAACATACAACGCAGGAGTGACCTCGATTGAAGACTGGTGTCTCTGCACGACAACAGGAAACATTGACAAGTACTTCAGTGCGCGTGTGTCTCGTTCACACTCAGCAGTATTGGATAATTCATTCTGAAGTGTGAGACACTCGTCACTGACTCACCGGCTGCTTGTTAGAATCTGTTTTGACACTCTGAGATATGTTGTTGCTGGGTGATGCTTCAAGTTTCTCCAAGGCTTTCAGCAGCTTCTGTTGTTGTCTGAACAGAAGGATGACACCATGAGATCTGGTGTTTGGTCATTTATCCCTGACCTTCAGCCATTAATGTTGATTGATGGCCGAGCACACTCGCGCTGACATATGTCTCTCAAGGTCAAAGGGTGTGAACACCATACATTTCTTCATATAGTTTCAATTAAACACTATGACGTTATTATTCTGACATTGCAGGATGCACGGTTTACAAGATTACTATGACAAGTACAGACGTCCTCTGTCACTCAGAAGTCAGAACATACATGCACGTTCCGTATCGTCTCAGCATACCTTTGTCCCATGAGTGTTATTCTGTTCATTGCCATGGGTGACACTGTTCTCATCTTGGTCATGGCTGTTGAGGCGCACCGAGCCATTCATCATCAGGTGTCCCCTGCCCTGGATAAAAAAAGGAGGCAAAATTTAAAAAAGATACAAAAGCTTTAAATGCAGGGCTTACATGTGAGACAAATTCAGAGCACTATAGTTGTACGGGCAGCATCATGTTAAGTTAAAAGGGCATATTAAAAAAAAGTTAAGGAAGGCCCTGTGAAACGCTAAGGAAGTCTACTACTTATGACTAATAGAAGAAAAAAACAAACCATGGTGTCTCTACAGCACTTGTACGTACCCTGTACTGTTACTGATGAACTGATTTCCTTTTACCTTCCTTAAATTATTAATAATAATACATTTTATTTAAGCGCTTTTCAAAAACTCAAATTCACTGTACAATAGTTAAAAACAGAAAGAACAGCACAGTAAGGACAGACTAACAGACATTGCAACATTACACACAAATAAAGATAACAACAATAAGGTAAACTACAGAAAACAGGAAATACATCACAATCATCCATTAAAAGTTTAAAGAGGTGAGTTTTGATCAGTGATTTGAAAGTAGGAGGGTCGGTGCAGTGTTGAATGTGTGTAGGGAGTGAGTTCCAGAGGGAGGGGAAGGAGAAGGGGTGGGGGCAGCTATGGAGAAGGCTCTGTCCCCACAGGTTCGGTGCTTGGTTCTAAGGGGGGAGATAGGAGGTTTTGAAGAACGGAGGCTGCGTGCAGGAGTGTGAGGGTGAAGGAGAGCCATGAGGTAGGAGGGGGCCTGGTGGTTAAGGGCTTTATGTGTGAGAAGAAGGATTTTGAATTGGATACGGTAAAGGACAGGGAGCCAGTGGAGAAATTAAGAGTTACTCATCAAAATCCTCAAACTGTCTCTTAACCTTAGTCAGCACTTCTTTAATAAATATGACCAATTAACCCTGACTGATTAGCAGCAGTAGCTCAGTCTGTAGGGACTTGGGTTGGGAAATGGAGGGTCGCCAGCTTGAGCACTGCTGAGTTGCCCTTGAGCAAGGCACTGAACCCCTAAACAGCTCTGGTGCACTCCTTGCATAGCAGTGTGTAACAGCCCCACTCTGACATCTCTCCACTAATGTCCCCAGGTCTTGTTTGTGCATGTGCGTGTGAGAAGCATGACTCTCAATAACAGAGTGTAAAGCAGAATTAAAATGATCCATACTGGCCACGTGGTGCAGAGACAACAACCTCTTCCTGAACGTCGACAAGACCAAGGAGGTTGTTGTCGACTTCCGGAGAGTCCCCACTCCTAAACCCCCACTGACCATCGACAGTGCTGCTGTGGAGAGAGTGAGCAGCACCAAGTTCCTGGGGGTTCACATCAGTGAGGATCTCTCCTGGACAACCAACACCACATCACTGGCCAACAAGTCCCAGCAGCGCCTCTACTTCCTCCGCAAGCTGAAGAGAGCACGAGCCCCCCCATCCATCATGTACTCCTTCTACAGAGGCACCATCAAGAGCATCCTGACCAGCTGCATCACTGTGTGGCTTGGGAGCTGCACTGCTGCCAACCGCAAGACCCTGCAGCGCACAGTGAAGGCTGCTGAACGGATTATTGGTGTCCCACTCCCCTCTCTTCTGGACCTCTACGGTACCCGCCTCACCCGCAAAGGAACCAGCATTGTGCATGACCCCAACCCCCCCTCACACAGCCTCTTCAGCCTCCTGCCATCGGGGAGACTGTACCGCAGCCGGCTCCACCAGACTGGGAAACAGCTTCTTCCACAAGCTGTCATGAAGCTTACTCTCTCCCTCTCTTCCTTCCCTCCCCTCTGCCCCACAACACTGGACGTTGAAACCCCCTCCCGTTTGCCACAAGAACTCTGGACTAATAACTCTGAAGCTAACTATTCAAAAGTACACTCAGTTTACTGCACATTGCACAAGTTTACAGAACTCTGGACTAATAACTCTGAAGCCAACTATTCAAAAGTACACTCAGTTTACTGCACATTGCACATATTGCACAAGTTTACTTTTTCTTTAAAATTTATTTTATTTATTCTATTTACCATTTTGTACCTTTTGCACAATTTAGAATTTATTACTGTAAATATTATTTATCTTATTTTTCCCCCATTTTATTTTATCTATTTTACCTTATCTTATTTTACCTTATTTTGGTTGTATTGCACCGCGGGACGGAGACAAACACAATTTCGATTCCACTGTATGTCTGGCATATTTTGAAACTGACGATAAAGTTGACTTTGACTTTGACATATACCACATACCACAGTCATTTCAAGTGGCTGTAACTGAACCTCGTCTTAAAAAGCTTACTCTTGATTCAGGCACATTAGCTAAATATAACAAATATCTAACCGTCCCCTTCTTTTGATGATCCTCAGGAAAGCAGGTGACAACGAGGTGTTTGACTTTCATCACAGACATTGTTTATTTTTAGCATCATTGGTGGAGCGCTAGAGTCCACCAAAGCGCTAAGACAACACTGGTAAAACTTAACAGATGATCTCCTGCTTGCTTCAGATGAAGAACTCCTCTCTTTACTTTAACTCTCTCATTCAACCATCACATCTTGTGACACAGACTGAACACTTAACTGGAAATAAACAAACCACATTGAACTAGAATAAAGCCGATTTATCAGACCAACCTCTGTTTGTACACATTATCTATGAGTCCTAAGTTAGGGGCAGAGTTCCACAAGGCTAGGTGGCACCAACCAGTTCTATTCGACTTCCTCTTGGTAGCTTTTTCATTGTTATGCAGATGATACCAAGTTATACCTATCAATGGCCGAAGATTTCTGCCTTTTAATAAGGCTGTTTTTTCTTACCACTGTTAGCTATGGCTGCTTTGCTAAAGTGCTCATACTTTTACCTGCTTTTTGTAATATAACAATAAGTAAGGTCTTTTACCTGCTTTTTGTAACATAACAATGAGTAAGGTCTTTTACCTGCTTTTTGTAACATAACAATGAGTAAGGTCTTTTACCTGCTTTTTGTAAAGTGTCTCCAGATAACACTTGTTATGAGTTGATGCTATACGAATAAAAATTGATTGATTGATTGAATGGGGCCAGACAAGGCCGACCGCTAAACTCAAAACAGGCATTAAGGACATAAAGACCAGAACAATCAGCAATGTCTGCTACGAAATTCACACAAAACTGATTAACTTGTGCTTCTAAAAACCTTAGAAACAAACATGAATGTTCTTTGAGAGATAGCATTAAAAAAAACTACTAGCTGTAAAGAAAATGTTTTGTAATTAAAGATGTCCACAGTTAAGTAGAGGCAATTACTGTCTGACATACCGTGTTGCTACTGAAGAGATCCAAACTCTGCATGGGCTTGTTCTCTCTCTGGATAGCCTGGCGTACCCTGCATGCCATGTCCTCTGGGTCCCGCTCCTCAACGGAAGCCTTTTTGGCTGCTGACAGAGGCCTCTCCACTCGACTCCTTGGCCCTTCAGAAGAAAGCGTGTGGTTTATCTGAGTACAACTGACTGTAATATGAGAAGAAGATCATTTCAACAACAGTATTTGTTACCAAATCGATAGTAAAGTCTGTCAGAGGGCTACGCATGTACTCAAAGAACTGAAGTTCCATCCAGTAACCAAACAAAGCATTCTGGAACTGAGTTTGTCTAAAGCCTGGCTCACACTTTGAGATTTTTCCCCAATTGTATAAAAGTCAGGGTGGCATGTCAGCTCACACTGTACGACTGAATCGTTTACGACGCCCGGCCAGACCTTGAGATTGATGTGCTCACACTGTACAACCCGATTGTCGGGCACGGCCGGAGAGCTCACACTGTACGAGTGAAATCGGGACGGAGCGTTGACAATTGTTAATAAAGTTTCATTTGAAAAAAACAAAGGACGACGGTTGGTGAAAGAGAAGGAAGTGGAACTTGTTGTTGGATATAGAGAAGTTGATACAATCATAGATGGATGGATACAAGTTTCAGAAAAGTGCTGCACTGATGATCTGTACTGAAAAGTAAAAAAATAACAAAAAAACGTCGGGTTGCGTCCTGCCGCTGGTCACCATGACTACAGTCCTCTCTTGTCTCTCCTGATTATATTGTAGTAACACACAACTTCTGCCGGACCCTTTCATGACGTAAACGTCAAGATTTTAAATTCTAATTATCAAACATGTTTGAAATAAATCGGGGTGTCCATGGGGGTCAGATCTAAAGGAGCATTCAACAGCATCCGAAGCTGCTGTTAGATCTGACAAGAGGATCTTTTTTTTCTCTACAATGCTAGTTAAGGCGGAGGGCGTGTGTTGTTAAAGCGGTTGCCTTTACTATAAAGCGCTTTGGGAAACACTGAATACCATATTCTTGAATATTTGAGTTTGTTTATCTAGATCTCAGATTAGCACTGGTTTCAAATTTAAAAAGTGTTAAAAGACTTACTCTGACCATCCCAGCTGTCTCTGGAAGGTGGCCTATCTAATGTCTTGCTCTTCACTAACATAGGCTTGGTAGGTATAAAAGGGTCGATGCTTTCTTTCCTTTTTGCTGACAGGGAGCGTTCAATCTTACGACCTGTCATGTGGAGAAAATGACACAGAGGAAAACTGTCAGAGTGGGAATACAGTGTTAGTCTGCATGCATAAAAGGCCTTCAGTCTTTCTATATCCCATCAGTTGACTAATAGTTTAGGTGTGCACAGACAGGTGCAGGTCTGTGCTGATGAAGCATATTAAGAGGAGAAGGGAACCACTACCAGGACTCACCCTAGAAATCAACAATAAATTCACATATGAAAGAAGCCAACGCCTACCTTTAGGTGAGGGCCCAAAGTCCAGGACGATGAGGTTTGCCGAGTCAAGATCGCTGCTGGACCGAGACGGTGCTGGGTTGGAGGACGACTTAGAAGACGAGAGAGGCAGTCCCAGTTCGTCCAGACTCTCAGTGCTCTCATCCCTCTCGATGTGCTCCTCCACCCACTCCTCGTCTGACTCCTCCCCCGCTGAGCCGCGGTT